TTGTCTCTACACAATTGAATCTTGTATATTGAGAGTAGGGCCACATATAGAGCACTTAGAGTTGTCTTTCAGCATTCAATCAGGCTGAGCTGAATGTAGTGATGTTTACATTGTTTACATTCTTTGTACTGTCTTCCTGCTCAAACTCTACAGCTTTTAATAAAATTTATTTTTATTAAAAAAAAAGCAGGGGAAGCCATCTTAATATCTGAAAAAAATTATCTCAAGATACAGGCCATAACAAGAGACAAGGAGGGACACTATATAATGTTCAATGGAGCAGTAGACCAAGAACCAGTGAGCATAATAAATGCATATGCGCCCAACGAGAGACCTGTGAAATTTGTAAATCAAACATTCCAAAAGATGAAAAAAGAAATCACAGGCTCAACAAGTATAGTTGGTGACTTTAATACACCACTCTCTGAAAAAGATCACTGGGAAACTCAACAAGGAGGCTACAGATCTAAACAGCACAATTAAACAACTGACTAGATAGATATTTTCAGAGCTTTCAACCCAAATGCAAAATAAATCATATTCTTTTCAACCCACATGACATGTACTCGAAAATAGACCATATACTGGGACACAAGTCAAACTTGAGGAAATTCAAGCACAGAGATTATACAGACATCTGTCTCCGATCACTGTGCCATAAGGCTGGAAATTAACAGAAGTACGGTGAAGAAAACAAGGGAAAACAATTGGAGGATGAATAATTCTCTACTGCAAAAGGAGTGGGTACTGACCCAGATCAGAGATGAGATTAGGAAGTTCCTAGAAAACAATGAGAATGAAAACAGCACATACCAAAACCATTGGGATACAGCAAAGGCATTTATCAGAGGAAAGCTGATAGCAATAAATGCACACATAAAAAAGAAGAGAGACTCATGGATGATATGCTGGCACAAAACTCACACTAGTTAGAGCTGAGTCAACAAAACAATACTACTAATAGCAAGAGGATAGAAATAATAAAAATCAAAGGTGAGATACAGGAGAGGGAAAACAAGAAAACTATGGGGACAATTAATGCAGCTAAAAGTTGGTTCTTTGAAAGAATTAACAGAATTGACAGACTGCTGGCAGCCCTAATCAAAGAAAGGAAGGAACAAACGTCAATTTCAAGGATGAGGGATGAAACAGAGGACATTACAATGAAC